AGAGAGAGAGAGAGAAAGAGAGAAAGAGAGAGAGAGAGAGAGAGAGAGAAAGAGAGAAAGAGAGAGAGAGAGAGAGAGTTTCTATGTATTGATTTAATAAACATTAAAATTAATTGTTTTCTAATAGTATAATAGAGAGGAAGAAAAGACAAAACATATAATAAATTTGTGTTTTGTATAATAAATTATATATTGATTTGAAAATGTTATATTAAATTATATTAATAATATCGCTATAGAAACAAATTTAACATTAATATTGTGTATATTTGTCGTCAACATATGTAAGACAACATTATTATGCAATAAAATAATCATCTATGTCATTAATATTAATAAAACAAAGTTTGTAAAAAAGCAACAAAAAATAATCTATTGAGATTTTTAGATCATGTTATAAATAACATGTAATATCGACTAAAAATTTGTTGCTTTAAGAAAATAAAAAGTTACACAAAAATTAAATGCAAAGTAAATTCATCAATGTACTAATTATGCGATTTTTTTCGGCAAAATATTTGGTCATTGAGCTCATTGTTTGCATAGTGTATACACTTTTAGTTTTTCAATTCATTGATGACAAATACATTCATCGTATTTATTATAGACTACATAATGTAAGTGAAAATAAAAACATAAAAACTACAGTAATTGTAAATACATTTTAATTATTATTTATTTTTATAAAAGCATTTCCATAAATACCACTTCACCGAAACAAAGGTTGAAATAAACGCCTCCATAATTACCACTTTCAGTGCAAATGTCATGCAATTTATCAAAACAATTAATGATTTAAAACTCGATGTGTTTCTCATCGATCCGATTATATTGTATAAAATGCTTGACCACCAGAACCGGCAGTTGTTGGCCAATAGAGATCTACTGCCGGACTCACTGTTTGAGGATTTAAATACACGCAAACAGTATTGTCAAGCATTTGGTATTTTTACATTCAACTTCAAGGGAGATGTGGTAAATGTTCACGTTTTTAATTGTGTCTTATGTTTGTAATCATTGATTATATCCATAAATATAATTTATTGCTCTTTATTTTTTAACAGAAAGAGTTAAGTCAAGTGTTAACTGATTTAAAGTTTGAGTTTCACATAATTGATGGTTTAGATGGCAGTCAACGTGTATTTGATATAAATTCATCACAAAAATTAGATAAAACATTTTTACACATGTTTTACACCAAAGGTAATGATTGCATACAAATAACGGTGTTTCACAAACGCCACGACTTTCTATGGATCGGTTCAATACCTGCTCTTCAAGAGAAAAGTCATCACAAATTAATGCCTAAAGACATTCATTACGGACGACATGAATCTGCATTTGATTTGTTTGATTTACAAACTGTTTCTACATTTCAAAAGAATATAACAATTTTAATACCCGATAAAGTCATACATTTTATATCGCAATATAAAACATCAAAATTTATTGAATGTGATTATAGTTTAGCCAAAAATTTTACTCAAAGTAATAAAAAAGTCATAACAAAATCTGAAATAATGGATCATAAAGTAAAAGAAGCATTGATTGCATTGAAATCGTTTACATCAAGACTTTATATACCGTTTTTTATATCGAGTGGCACTCTATTGGGTTGGTATAGACAGTGCGGTGTTATTCCCTACACCAGTGATGTGGACACCGGGACGTGGGCTGCCTTTGCCTCCGACCAACTTATCGATGCCTTCATTCATAACGACGTGAACTTAAAACTATCGTTTATTTACGGCTTTATTGAAAACGGTTTACAGTTTGCTTTGTTTACTGAACACGACTTCAGAGTAGACCTGTTTTTTACGTACAAAGAGGGGCCAAACCTCACGTATACGGGACACGTAACCGCCGATAACGCATACTTTCGATACATTTACCCGCATTTTACTCTATGTTCAGCAGAATTAGTTGGTGTGAAAGTACTCGTGCCCTGTAATCCTGTCGATGTTATCAGCGCCGGTAATAACAATTATGATTTACCATTTACTGGTAATCTATTAATTATTTATTTCTAGAATATGGATTACAGTGGCATTTACCACAAACTAACTGGTCATGGTTGGAGTCGCCCTATAATATGGGGCCTCGTCTTAATTGGACAAATAAATTTCAACCATCATACAAAGTTCTGTGATTTATAATAAAATTTAAATTTAAAATGACAAAGTGTATTTCATTGGAGAGAAATATCAAGTTCGTGAGAAATATAATAATCTATTATCTTGTATGCTTAATTATGTAATTACTGATTAGTAATCGGTTTTATTACTATTCAGCAGTTATTGTATTTGTAACTAATTTGTATATAATTAACATTTTATAAATTGTTTTATTATTATAAAATATTACAAATTAATAAAAATTGTTTCAATTTTGAATAAATAATGACATTTTAGTTTAGTAATAAGAAATTTGTTTAAAATGCATAAATAACCAAACATGGTTATTAATGTGCAAAATTATATTCCATTGCTTAAAGCTTATGGGATATTGCTATCGAGTGGCGGAAAGACATTCGCCGCCTCATAGGACGGCTCCTCAATATTTCCCGGCGCTTGAAAATTGCAGACAACGCTTATCTGGTAGGCATGACTCGGACACTTTGCGCACCCAATAATTGTCGAATTGACCCAAACAAGTGCTGTGAAGTGCATAGTTTCACCACGGTTGTTTGCACCATGACCAGCGTAATCGTAGTTCACTTCCTCTGACGCCCTTTCAAATAAATATATAACATTGAACATTGACCTGAGCTATGCTTATGGACAGTGTTAGCCATACCAATAATCCATGACAGCTGAACACGATCTGAAGTCCACGTCAACAATAATGCCAGGACTGGGAGCCCATCCCTGTGCTATATTCTCACCATGAGCATCATCGTCCTGCAAGTGACCGGCATCGGCGTTTGGGCACCTCCATTCAGCATACTTTACCAGCTAGATTGATTTCAATGGATTACATTTGTAATAGATCTAGTTAATTGTAAAGGCATACATCGGGATCCATTGTATAGGGTGGTGCTTGATGATTGGCTCGTATTTCATTGACTCGCTTTAAACAATCGTCTAACCATGGTTGAGTTGTAGTAATTTCCAGTGTAGTCGATTGCTGTGTTGTGCTGGTTTGTGCCCGTGAAANTATTACGAAATACTAAAAACTAATTAATACTTAGCTGGTGAATTATGCTAAATGGAGATGTCCAAATGCTGGTGCCGGTCACTTGAAGAACAATAATGGTCATGGTGAGAATATAGCACAGGGATATGGCGCTAGTCCCGACTATACTACCGAGGTGGATTTCAATTCGTGTTCAGCTGTCATGGATTATTGGTATGTTTAAAGAGAAGTTACTGTTAATTTATAATATAAAGCACCATGGAAAATGCTTAGAAGTTATAACAAAAGGCACTCGTATTAATTAGCATGTTTTTTATATGATCAAGGGCTTCTGAGGAAAAGGACTACGACTACGATGGGCATGGGCAAAATAACCGTGGTACTGTGGGACACTTCACAGCCCTGGTATGGGTAAATACTACCCTGATAGGATGCGCAAAGTGCCCTAGTCAAGCGTATCAGATAAGCGTGGTCTGTAATTTTCAGGCTCCAGGTAATTATCCAATGCAGGACTATCAAGCTAAAAATGTCTTACCACCAATTTCGGATAATCTTATTCGCTAAAGTTATGTAATATTATTGGTTTAAGATCTTTGCTTGAATATTTAACAAAATATATATTTAAATTTAAAATATATTTATGAATTTTAAACAAATAAAGCATAAAATTAATTAAAATATTAAAATAAAATATAGATTCTAATAAGCTATTAATATGGTATACACCCTTCAAAAGCCTATAATTATAACATGTTACATGTATCATTTTGTGCTATTTTGAATAATTACTTTACTTTTAAAACAATGTATTTAATGCTAACCTCTTAATAAATAATAACAATAATAAGTTATTATTAATAACTAATAATAATAGTAATGTGAGTCAATCGGAAATAGCGGTTCCAAAGGGGGCAGACATACAGACCTCAGAGGCTGAGCACACGAACGGCGCTTCAAAGGTAAGACACGGGTAGCGCCCGCTCTAACGCACTCGACTCACGCCGGGAGTTGACGGTCACAGCGAATGACAAGCTATTCGGCATTTATGTTGCAATATTTGTTTATAAAATAATACCACATGCTTATAGAGCATGTGATGAACATGTCAAATGTTTTACAAGTTGCTAGATTTCATTTGCATTCCTATTAAATTATATTTTCATGATCATTATTTTGTTTTTATACATGTAATATAAATTTGAATATTGTTATTATTTAATAATGTCCAATAATAATACTAACTTAAATACTAATCTTTTATCATATTTAGATCTAAAATACTTTTGATTTGTTAAATAAAATTTTTTAATAATTATTAAAACTATTTACATTAACTGTATATTTACTTAATTAACAGGAATAGAATGAATCATAAAAACAAAAACATGTTTAGTGTTAAAAATCTACAAAACACCGAAAAACATATTTTAATAATTTGTTAAATTTTAACCTTTTGCAAGATTTCATAATAATTACAATAATTTATTATTAATAATTAATTATTTATTACCAATAAATGTAATTAGAGTGAGTGAGTGAGTGAGAGAGAGAGAGAGAGAGAGAGAGATCAAAAGGGTATATAATAAGTGTCAGTGTAAGTGTCATAGATTACTAAATATTTAATGAGCATTGAATTTACTTTTAATAGAATTAAAAGCATACAACAATGATTTTTAAGCTAATTGTTACAGTGTTGACCATTCCCGGTCAGTTAATTTCTACAATGTATTAATTAACATAATATTATTAAATACTATTAAACACAGGTCTTTCACGGGCACAAACCAGCACAACACAGCAATCGACTACACTGGAAATTACTACAACTCAACCATGGTTAGACGATTGTTTAAAGCGAGTCAATGAAATACGAGCCAATCATCAAGCACCACCCTATACAATGGATCCCGATGTATGCCTTTACAATTAACTAGATCTATTACAAATGTAATCCATTGAAATCAATCTAGCTGGTAAAGTATGCTGAATGGAGGTGCCCAAACGCCGATGCCGGTCACTTGCAGGACGATGATGCTCATGGTGAGAATATAGCACAGGGATGGGCTCCCAGTCCTGGCATTATTGTTGACGTGGACTTCAGATCGTGTTCAGCTGTCATGGATTATTGGTATGGCTAACACTGTCCATAAGCATAGCTCAGGTCAATGTTCAATGTTATATATTTATTTGAAAGGGCGTCAGAGGAAGTGAACTACGATTACGCTGGTCATGGTGCAAACAACCGTGGTGAAACTATGCACTTCACAGCACTTGTTTGGGTCAATTCGACAATTATTGGGTGCGCAAAGTGTCCGAGTCATGCCTACCAGATAAGCGTTGTCTGCAATTTTCAAGCGCCGGGAAATATTGAGGAGCCGTCCTATGAGGCGGCGAATGTCTTTCCGCCACTCGATAGCAATATCCCATAAGCTTTAAGCAATGGAATATAATTTTGCACATTAATAACCATGTTTGGTTATTTATGCATTTTAAACAAATTTCTTATTACTAAACTAAAATGTCATTATTTATTCAAAATTGAAACAATTTTTATTAATTTGTAATATTTTATAATAATAAAACAATTTATAAAATGTTAATTATATACAAATTAGTTACAAATACAATAACTGCTGAATAGTAATAAAACCGATTACTAATCAGTAATTACATAATTAAGCATACAAGATAATAGATTATTATATTTCTCACGAACTTGATATTTCTCTCCAATGAAATACACTTTGTCATTTTAAATTTAAATTTTATTATAAATCACAGAACTTTGTATGATGGTTGAAATTTATTTGTCCAATTAAGACGAGGCCCCATATTATAGGGCGACTCCAACCATGACCAGTTAGTTTGTGGTAAATGCCACTGTAATCCATATTCTAGAAATAAATAATTAATAGATTACCAGTAAATGGTGATTCATAATTGTTATTACCGGCGCTGATAACATCAACCGGATTACAGGGCACGAGTACTTTTACACCAACTAATTCTGCTGAACATAGAGTGAAATACGGGTAAATGTACCGAAAGTATGCGTTATCGGCAGTTACGTGTCCCGTATATGTGAGGTTTGGCCCCTCTTTGTACGTAAAAAACAGGTCTAATCTGAAGTCGTGTTCAGTAAATAAAGCAAACTGTAGACCGTTTTCAATAAAGCCGTAAATATACGATAGTTTTAAGTTCACGTCGTTATGAATGAAGGCATCGATGAGTTGGTCGGAGGCAAAGGCAGCCCACGTCCCGGTGTCCACATCACTGGTGTAGGGAATAACACCGCACTGTCTATACCAACCCAATAGAGTGCCACTCGATATAAAAAACGGTATATAAAGTCTTGATGTAAACGATTTCAATGCAATCAATGCTTCTTTCACTTTATGGTCCATTACTTCAGATTTTGTTATGACTTTTTTATTACTTTGAGTAAAATTTTTGGCTAAACTATAATCACATTCAATAAATTTCGATGTTTTATATTGCAATATAAAATGTATGACTTTATCGGGTATTAAAATTGTTATATTCTTTTGAAATGTAAAAACAGTTTGTAAATCAAACAAATCAAATGCAGATTCGTGTTGTCCGTAATGAACGTCTTTAGGCATTAATTTGTGATGACTTTTCTCTTGAAGAGCAGGTATTGAACCGATCCATAGAAAGTCGTGGCGTTTGTGAAACACTGATATTTGTATGCAATCATTACCTTTGGAGTAAAACATGTGTAAAAATGTTTTATCTAATTCTTGTGATGAATTTTTATCAAATACACGTTGACTGCCATCTAAACCATCAATTATGTGAAACTCAAACTTTAAATCAGTTAACACTTGACTTAACTCTTTCTGTAAAAAGTAAAGAGCAATAAATTATATTTATGATCACAATAAATGATTACAAACATCGGACACAATTAAAAACGTAATCATTTACCACATCTCCCTTGAAGTTGAATGTAAAAATACCAAATGCTTGACAATATTGTTTGCGTGTATTTAAATCCTCAAACAGTGAGTCCGGCAGTAGATCTCTATTGGCCAACAACTGCCGGTTCTGGTGGTCAAGCATTTTATACAATATAATCGGATCGATGAGAAACACATCGAGTTTTAACTCATTAATTGTTTTGATAAATTGCATGACATTTGCACTGAAAGTGGTAATTATTGAGGCGTTTAGTTCAACCTTTGTTTCGGTGAAGTGGTATTTATGGAAATGCTTTTATAAAAAATAAATAATAATTAAAATGTATTTACAATTAGTTTTTATGTTTTTTCCACTTACATTATGTAGTCTATAATAAATACGATGAATGTATTTGTCATCAATGAATTGAAAAACTAAAAGTGTATACACTATGCAAACAATGAGCTCAATGACCAAATATTTTGCCGAAAAACATCGCATGATTAGTGCATTGATGAATTTACTTTGCATTTAATTTTTGTGTAACTTTTTATTTTCTTAAAGCAACAAATTTTTAGTCGATATTACATGTTATTTATAACATGATCTAAAAATCTCGATAGATTATTTTTTGTTGCTTTTTTACAAACTTTGTTTTATTATTATTAATGATATAGATGATTATTTTATTGCATAATAATGTTGTCTTACATATGTTGACAACAAATATACACAATATTAACGTTAAATTTGTTTCTATAGCGATATTATTAATATAAATTTAATATAACATTTTCAAATCAATATATAATTTATTATACAAAACACAAATTTATGATATGTTTTGTCTTTTCTTCCTCTCTATTATACTATTAGAAAACAATTAATTTTAATGTTTATTAAATCAATACATACTCTCTCTCTCTCTCTCTCTCTCTCTCTCTCTCTCTCTCATAAAACATCAGCTCTAATTGTTTTGTAATGTTTTACTAGTATTTAGAGTACGATTTAGTGAATGATACTCTTTCAACACTTTTGTATTTTAAATTTGTCATTGAAATGCTTTACAATACATGTAATTAGGATTTTATAGCATTTACTTTCATGGTTTGTAATACACCTGATTTAATAGAAAATGTTAATTGAAATATTTAGAGAGAGAGAGAGAGAGAGAGAGAGAGAGA